CCTACATATTCCAAATTTTAGACAAATCCGTGGAAGAAATGTGGGAAAAATCATGAAAATACAGAATATCGGGAGGTACCGTTATATAGGGGGGCTATATGCGAACATGGATTTATTCATACAATGTACCGTCACTGCAGCTAGAACCCACTACTACCTACATATTCCAATTTTTAGAAAAATCCGTTGGAAAATGTGTCAAAAAAATCATGAAAATACCGAATATCGGAAGGTACCGCTATATGCGGGCTATACGAAAATATGGACCTCTGTATACAATGTTCTGCCACTGATGCTAAATATAGCAATCTTTAGACGAATCCATGAAAAATGCGGCAAAAATAATCAAAGTACCGAATATCGGGAGGTAACATTATATGGGAGCTATACGAAAGCGTGGACCTATACATACAATGTTCCGCCACCGAAGCTAAAACCCATTATGACCTACACATACCAAGTTTAAGACAAATCCGTGGAAAAATGTGGCGAAAATCATCAAAATACCGAATATCGGGAGGTACCGTTATATGGCCGCTATACCAAAAAGTGGACTCGACACATCTCTTTTCAATACCAACCATCCTAGGCACAATACAAAGTTTCTGCCAAAATTTGAAGCTCTAAATAATGTGGCTTTTTCGTTAGTTCAAAAGACAGGTAGAGGGATAGGCATACCGAAAATCGCCTTAGAATTTTATTTGTCCTATTTAATTTGTCCTATTTATACCCTCCACCTTGAAAAGGAGGAAATGTTAACTTTGTCATACCGTTTGTAACATCCCTAAATATTCATCGTATATATACTTTATATATACTTTATAAGGTCTACGATGAATATTTAGGGATGTTACAACCGGATTGACAAAGTTTACATACCCTTCTTTTTTAAGGTGGAAGGTATAAATAGGACAAATTAGTCACTTTGTTTTGATAATTTCTATATATTGCGGATTTAGAAATGATCGATTTTATCCGACCTGCCCAAGCACTTAATCTTTTCAGTGCACATAACACTTACACGCTTTGTGTAGTTCACCTGTTTTAAGAAATTCCCCACTCGGTGTTTGTTTACAATTCCAAGAAAATGCAGTACTTAATGAGTTATTGTTAAAGAGAAGAATGAAGAGCGGCTGGTTCATTAGTCTACTACAATTTTCTCTGTTATAAATAAAATTTCACTCACAACAAAATTTACTCATACCAAAATCTGGCAATACAGATGCAACCAGATTATGGCTGAATACAGCTTATTCTTTTTAAACCTGACTCAAACTCACTCATGTAGTGGCAACAACCCGCAATTCTTAATACCCTGCTAACTCATTAGAATTTCTTTCTTGGGATGCTCTGAGAGCGTTGAGAGTATCCGACAATGTGAGTTGTTTCAATTACTCACAGAACACATTAAACGTCTTTTGCTGTTGTTGTTGTTCTCGTAATTAATTTATCTTTAACCTCCATAAATTAAACTGGCACAAGAAGTCAGACAAACAACAACCTCATGGTGTCTTCCTCCTCTGTCCAGTGGGGTTGGCTTCCCGGCAGAGTTTTCCCTCTGTCTAGTTTTCTTAGTTCATGACGTGCCTTTTCGATTCATCATCATCGTTTAAATGATGTCAATTAAATTACGCATCGCCAGTGACCATCCCGCCACGACCTCCTCCCATCTGTCATCAGAAAAAAAACGAAGATTTTCTGGAAGTCAACAACAAGAACAACAGCAACATGACAATTTCAAAACAATGTTAATGTTCTGTTATTGCCGCTTTTTTAAAAGACTTCATTTAATTTGTGACGATAATTTAATAATTCTATTGTCTTCATTCTGGTTTTTTTTTTTTTTGTGTGAATTATTTTTTTTGTTGTGTTTGTTATAATTAATAATAATGAACAAGGCGGAAGATTAATTTAGGATTTATTGGGGATTTTTAAATACGGGTTAATTTATTAATTTTAGGCAGGAAATTTTTCAAAATCACTGAGAAAAGGAAATTTAAAAATTTTATCTATATTGAATTTTTGGAAATAACAAGTTCTACAAAACATACTAGGGCCTACAAAAGCACAAAAAATGTACAACACGGTTATGCGAACTAAGATGAAATCTAGCCGAATATTTCATAATTTCTTCCGAATAGACATATTGCCCAATACGATCCAAAAATGCACTGAAAATTAATATATATGAAGTATCAAAATATATAGATTTTTAACTTTTTTCGATTTTTTTTTGAAAGGTGCCAGGAAATGTGAGGTTATATATTGCAATTTCACAATTGTTCTATTATTCAAAAAAAAAAAAAAAAAAAAAAAAAAAAAAAAAAAAAAAACTAGGCAAAATTTGAAGAAAAATTGACAAAGATTTCCCATTTAAGAAAGCTATTATTCAAAATTTTAACATATTTTTGGGGTGTTACTAGAGGGATCGACCCAGTACTGTTCATTATCTAACATCTTCTTAGTGTGATGTTAATATGACCATGTTTCAAGTTTGGACTTTATACAGTACTCCCATCGGCTTATATGAAAAAATATGTAAATTTTGAAAATTTGTGGAGAGTTACTAGGTAGAGTGGGCCGATATAATCAATTTCCACACTTACCCAAACATAGACAAAAATATAGAGACAAAAATCGAACACTCACTTCAGAATTGGCTATATCGACTCCAAAAGTCTTGAAACAGATTTCTTCCCTCTGAAGTTCATACGCCCATAAACTGTAAAACGTTTTAAATTTTCAGGTAACGTTATATGAAGTCTATACCGAAATGTGGACCCACACTAAAAATCTGAGAGTAAATAAAATACTTGTTGAAGACCTGAAATATCTACTTATAGGCGACTTGAATCTTCAAAAATGCTAAAATCCATGAGGTGACTTTATATCAGAGCCAGACAAAAGTAAATTCACTTGCCTTGAATGAGCATTATTCTCTCCACGCCCACAATCGGAACTATTGAAAAATCATGTGATCAGAGAGCAACAACATTAGGAGAACATACAGGGTTGTCCATATTCGACGGACCCATCTGGCAACGGCATAACTTTTGACAGAGATGTCACATCGCTTAATGACATACCGCGTTTGAAGCGTCAGTCCAAGCAGATTTTTACCATGAACCAATACACGCCACGCGAGCGCTCTGAAATAGTTGAAATTTACATTCAAGAGAAGAAGTCAGTTGTGAAAAAAAATGTGAGAAGTGCGGCTTCTAAGAACACCATTAAGCGTTTATACGAAAAATTTTCGACTGGTAAGGCTCTTTCTAATCCGAAGAGGACATATAAAAGTCGACCAAGGCGATCGGCCGAGATTATCGCTGCCGTACGAGCCAGTGTTGAGAGGTCCCCAAGAACATCCCAAAAACGCCGTTCTCAGCAGTTGGTCATGGCTCGGTCCACATTATTCGCATTGATTTGCATTTGTTCCCGTACAAAATTCAATTGACGCAGAGAATGTTGCCTGCGGACAAGCCTCGTCGATTGGAATGGGCCCAAAGGTCCGTCGAATATGGGCAACCCTGTAAAACTGCGACTAGTCCGCTATTTTTACCAGCAAACATTCAAGGCCAAATTTAAAAATTTTCGAATATAAGCTAATTCGATTTGAATATTTCAACAGAGGAAAAGTTTATCTCACAGCATTTGTACCTATCAAGCAGACACAAATATAGCTTTTGAGTTTGTAGTCGGTGCTAAGATTTTTTCCGAGTACTCTGATGTCCGACTTTTCGGCGAGACTTTCTATGGCTATTTAAAAAAATGTTCCAATTTTTATTTTTTTTAAATTCGTACCAACTCTAGAGAGAGGAAGAGTTTCTCTCCCTCACAGAATTATGGCAAATAGAAAAATATATATCTTTGAATTTGTAATAATTGGCTAACAACTAAGTAGTTACATTTTTTTCGAGAGAACTGATGACCGATTTTTGTAGAGACTTTGTATGAAAAAATTCCATGTATCCGCACATTCCCTTAGAAGAAATGTTTTTTTTTTTTTGTCTTCTTAAGAAATACACAAAATCCCAGAGGCTTTATCATCTTTTAAAAATTATTTTTCTCTCTCGGAAATATTAAAACGTTATCCAAATTTCAGATCAAGTATTCACAAATTCGTTACAAAGCTCTTATGCTTAGTCCGACAAAACTCTCGGAATGCTGGAAATCCTCACATAAATCTATTAAATTTAGTACGATTCGATATCAGAATCGGGAACTTGTGCGAAATTTCGTTCGGAATTCGGTAAAATATTGATTGAGCATTAATTAATGCTTAGTACGACAAAACTACTTGATCCTTAGTCCGACAAAATTCTCGGAATGTTGGAAATCCTCACATAACTCTATTAAATTTAGTACGAATTCGATATCAGAATCGGGAACTTGTGCGAAATTTCGTTTCGAATTCGGTTATCGAAGCATTCTATAAAAGGTGTTAATAAATAGGAAATCTTTATTTAGGGATTTTGCAAAATTGTCTTGAAATATTTCTAAGATTCTCATTTGGAATCAACTCTTCCTTCCCCCTGGTGACATAAAGAGATTATATATTCACAAAAAAAATACTCGAATTTTTTCACTTAGTCTTGTATAATAAATATGTTTAGGGTTTTAATTGAAAATCTAGTTGTGTTTTATTTTTAAAAATAAATCAAAAAAAAAAACTTTCAACTCAGCACAATCTTATCACATTGCCTTGCAAAAATGTCACGATATCATCACTTTTTTCTAATCTCAAATACTACAACTGTTCGATATGCCACATTAAACCCTATTATAAATTTATATAATCTTTCTCAAGTGAAGAGCATTTGTATGAACACATACAAATATCTCTGAATTTGAAACGAAAAAGAAATGACGTAGATATTTTCGTCAATGACGTTCTTGTTAATGCAATGGGCAGAATATGCGTCACATTTCACAAAAATTAAAAATAATCTTAAACAATTTTCAAATACTAATTATGACATATTTTTTCTAATTTTCTTTAGCAAAAATTGGCGTTTTCTACACAGCATTTTATGGAGTCTTAGCGGCGCTGGTAGCCATTTGTATGTGGGCATTTTTCCAGACATTGGATCCGCGCATACCAAAATGGACACTCGATGGATCGTTGATAGGAACAAATCCAGGTGTGTTAAGGATTGATTTTTCATTGCTTTCAATATTTGAACTTTCTTTTTTTTTGTTTTTTTTGTTTTCGTATAGGTCTCGGCTTCCGACCCCTACCAGAATCGGAAAATGTTGAAAGCACCCTGATTTGGTACAAGGGCACCCATTATGAAAACTACAAACAATGGACAGATTCATTGGATGAATTTTTAGCTGGTAAGTAAAGCGAACATCAATTAGGTGTGGTTGACAATTTCATGGGGGCCATGGCCGCTTGGTTATCTTGTCTCGAGTGCCAGTCAGCATTGACACTGGATGCGCCAAATATTTTTTTTGTTTGTAATTAAAATCTTATCAAATGCAAGTTGTGACATACGAAGAAACTATGTCTTCTATCAAAAAAATTCCATGTTCAAGTGGCCGTGATAAGTGGTGGTTTCTCTATACAATTTGACTGGGGATCTTCTCTAGAGTTGTCATTACATTTTTAGGGTTTTTTTCCAACATTATATTTAACAAAAGCCAAGTTTTTTTTTAAAAAGATGGGAGTATTGGAAAAAGTATATTTAAATCTTTAATATATTTTATTTAACATGACATCATGTTTTCAGTATTAATCACAATTTGAAGATCGGTAGTGATTTCTTCAACAATTCTCAAATTTCCTCCAGAAATTAAGAGAATGTCATGGTAAAAACCAAAAATGGAAGATTCAATAATGAAAACTTTGTTAACAAATTACAAAAGGATTTGGTGCACTAAGGCCAACTTCTTAAGACCATCGCCCTGAAAGCGTTACAGTAGGCCCCTTATATATACTAACATTTAAAATACCATAATTTTCATACACTTCTTAATTGAAAATTTATTTTATTTTAGTTTACAAAGTACCTGGTTTGACTCCCGGCCGTGGTCAAAATATCTACAATTGTGACTACAATCAGCCACCACCAAAGGGTCAAGTTTGCGATGTCGACATTAAGACCTGGTCACCCTGTACCAAGGAAAACAATTACAGCTATCACAAGAGCTCACCATGTGTATTCTTGAAATTGAATAAAATCTATGGTTGGATACCGGAATTCTATAACAGCTCAGCTGATTTGCCCGAAAAGATGCCAAAAAGTTTAAAAACCTACATTACAGATATTGAAAAGACACAGCCCCATAAGGTGAGCGAGATATTTGCCTCTCTTTAAATTTCGAGACAATAATTTTATTTTTTTTTTTTGTTTTCAGATGAACACTGTTTGGGTGTCCTGTGAGGGTGAAAATCCTGCCGATCAAGAAAATATTGGTCCAGTCGATTATTTGCCCATACGAGGTTTCCCTGGCTATTTCTATCCCTACCAAAATTCGGAGGGTTATTTAAGTCCTTTGGTTGCTGTACATTTCCAAAGACCAAAAAGTAAGTGTTTTTATATCCGAGATCAGGGATTTACCAAACAGTTCACGTAGAGACGAAGTTCTTCGGTTATTGATACCGGTACGGTCCGTATGTATACGCCAAACATATTAAAGAGAACAAATGCTTGGATTTCATCTCACATATTCTCATGAAAACTTTATTTTTCTCACGCACATGGAGTTTCGTCAGGTCTCATTTTGAACGACTTTGATGAAGGTCGTATTAATTTTGTTGGCGAAAAAAAATCGTTCGGTTTATCACAATTGAGATCTCAACATTTAAGATAGAGCTCTGATATTTTGCCCAGAATTTTTTTGATGATGGGCATCGAGAAGCCGATACATATACCTAAATATAGATATTACTCAAGCTCATATTTTTTCGGAATATTAGATGTTCCAGCCACCATTTTCAACCAAATTAGTTTGGCATTTCGGATTCTCAGAATATCTACAAACTATTTTTCAAAAAAAAAAAAAAAAAACGTTCTCTGGAAACGTACATCCGGAAATTCACTCGATTTGGGTTGATATTAGCCATTATTTGCACAATAAACATGAAATCGGATTAAGGATATATTTGGGAACTATATCCAAATCTTAGCCGATCTCGATAAAATTTGGCTAAGGTATTTCCGAGCTCTATAAGACATCTGGTACCAAATATCATTGTTATCGAATGCATATTACGAATGTGAGGGACTTAAACGCCAAATCAGATGCAACATATATACGGGATCTATAACTATATCTGAACCGAATTCCACCAAATTTAATGTACTTACATCTAGACGGATATGCCAAAATTCAGGTCATTTGGACTTATATTGGCTATTTGGTGCACCACTAACCCGAAATCGGTTGAAGGCATATATGGGAGCTATATCCAATTCTGAACCGACCATGACAAAATTTAATGCACATACTTCAGAGCTGTATCTGGTTCCAAAGATCATTGTTGTAGAATGCATATTACGCTTGTGAGGGACTTTAAACCCCAAATCGGATAAAACATATAAATGGGAGCTATAGCTATATCTGAACCGATTTTGATGTACTTACTTCTAGACTGAATTCAGGTCATTTGGACTTATTTGGCTTTTTGGTGCACAATCAACACGAAATCGGTTGAAGATATATGAGTGCTATATCTAAATCTGATCAGATTATTTCAATTTCAATAGGGTTCGTCCTATAAATCGACTATGAAAGTGATTCTATGAAGATCCTCAAAAGTAACTATGGGTCTATTTCGCTTTCCTCTCCACGTTACAAACAAATGTACAAATATATAATACCCACAAATATGTGGTGTAGGGTATAAAAAGACGTGCGGAAATTCATATAGCACTACCTGCTCTAGAAATTTTTTATATTTTTTGTATTAAAAAACAAAATTTAATATATATTTCGATTTTGTAATTGGACCCAATAATTGGATTTTTAAGAGTTCGGCCAGAAAGAACTTTGTTTTTTCTTTAATAAATATTTTTATATTTCCCCACAGTTTTCCCTTCAATATTAATCATTTTCCCTTTTTCTTTCTTCCCTTTTCCAGATGGTATCATCATCAATATTGAATGTAAAGCCTGGGCCAGAAATATCTTCCACGATCGCAAGGAGAGATTAGGCTCCGTGCACTTTGAACTTTTAATAGATTAAAACAAAAGATATATTTTTCGACAAAAACAACAACAACAACACCAACAACAAAAGAACTTCCTTACCACAAACACACACACAACAAAACACAAACACAGATATTTAGTTAAAATGTAATTTATCAACAATTATCGTATGCTTTTTAAATAACTTTCTGACAAAAAAAAAAAACAAATAACGGGAAATATACTTTTCAAATATTTCCACAAATCATCAAATCTCCAACTTGTCGTATTTTTTGCTTTAATTAAGATTTTATTTTTGTTTGAAGTAAACTGCCATTTCACCAAAAAAAGAAAAAACAACACCAAACAACTCGAATACCACAACAAATCCACAATAAAGGGGAAGAGGAAAACATCTTTTTCCCCCTCTATTTTTCTATTTCTTTGGGCATGAAATTTTATTGTATTAGAATTAAAAAAAAAGAAAAAAACAAACTAGAATTGTTTATTGTAAAGTTTAGTTATTGTATATTTAATACAACTATAACAACACCAACAAATAAAGAAGAAAAAGAAATCCTGCAACGACACCATCAAAGGATCTACAGCTGAAGGAAGAAAAAAAGGAAGGACGAAGAGAAAACATCTCTTCTACAAAGTATTTTGTGAGTGTCATTTTTTTAGTTTCTAGCAATTGTACAAGTTAGTTTAATAACTCCAACAAACAAACCAAAATGACCCCAATAACAAACCGCCAACCAAACGCCCCTTTTTAAAAAACACCCCCCTTTAGCCTACGCCCATATTTTACATAGAAATGTATTTTATTGTAACGATTTACAATTAATTTGCAACAAACAGAAAGTTTTACTTTTTAATTGACATAAATTAAAGAAAAATGTTTTTTTTAAGTTTTAAATTAATAAAAATCTACCAAAAACAACCAAAATAACAAATATATTGAATTTATTGTATCCTTTTCCGAAGACTGCTATTTAACACTAAACATTAAGCATGAGGGAGATACACAGAAGAGAACAAAAGACAACTGATCGTTTGAGGTCCTTCACAAAAGACTTTCTGGTGTATCGGTGATGTTGCATCACCTAATAATCGTTTTTGATTTTTGCTTCCCAACAAAAAGTCGATTTCGATTTTTAATTGTTTATGCTTAGTTATACCTTGGAAACTTTGCTAAGATATTGACATTACTGTTCGTCTGTTCAAATCACTGTAGCTTCCGAAGGAAAGGCAGTAGGTTGACAAAATTCTACTCAAATATGTATTTTGTCTGCAGGACTTTTGGTATTGAAAATGGGCCATGTAGGTCCACGTCTTCGTATAGCCCTCATATAACGGTACCTTCCAATATTCGGTATTGCGATGATTTTAGCGATATTACTCACCAGAATTATTTCAAATTTGGTATTTTATGCTCGTAATGGATACTACAGCTTAAGACAGAAAATTGTTTGTGCAGGTCCACGTCTTCGTATAGGCCCCATATAACGGTACCTCCCGATATTCGGTATTTTAATGATTTTAGCGATATTATTTACCGGAATTGTTTTAAATTTCGCATTTGAAGTTCGTAATGGTTATTACAGCCTATGACAGAAAATTGTCTGTGCAGATCCACATTTTATAACCACCACGGTACCTCCCTATTTTCGGTATTTTGTTGATTTTAGCTACATTATAAACAGATTTTTTTCTTGCAAGTTTCGCATTTGAATATTGTAATAGCTTGTGACGAAAGTTGCCTATGCAGCTCCACGACGTCGTATAGACTCTAATATACGGCTACATTAGGTATTTTCAAGATATTAACAGCATTTTTAACGGATTTTATTTTTTGAAAATTGTTAAATTTGTACCAAATGGTGGAGGGTATTCAAAGTTCGGCCCGGCCCCTCAATATTCTCTCTCTCTCTCAATATTTTAAATATACCTTGGAAACTTTGCACAGATATTAACATGACTCAAAGGATTGAATTATTTATAAAAATCGATTCGCGTTTAGGTATATGCAAATCTCTATACAACGTTAACTCCCGATTCTGAACAATTTAAGTATTTCTAACCATATGGGCTTCGATTTATAAATCTGGACACTCAATATTCCTATAAAATGAGTTGAAAAGAGTAAATATTGGTATGGCTCCCATTTTAAATTTCAGTACTTGGACTATTTTAGAATTATTTTTTTAGAAGTAGATTTAATAGAATTTAAATTTGACGTTAAGGGTTCTCTGTGGCACTTTTTGAATTCATTTATTCTTCGTCTTTTATCATAAGTTCAGGCGAATGATTCATAACTCGACATCGGATTTATAGTCTTTTAATATTTACATGTTTCCAAATTGGAATCGACATTAAAACGCCACAAAAACGATTTTGCAGCCGCGTAGTTTGGTCGATTGATTTTTATCTTAACCTTAAAGAATGCGTCGTTTAAAATTTGTGTGGATATATATGAGAGCTATATTCAAATCTGAACCGATATTTGTAAAATTTAGCATAGGTATTTATATTTGCTCTATCTGATGGCTGGCCCCAAAAATCGTTGTTGTGGTGAGCATTTTACGGGTGTGAGGGACTTAAACACAAAATCGGATGAAAAATATATATGGGACCTATACCTATAGAAATTTGATGTACTTGCTTTTAGACTGAATTCGGTGGGATGTACCAATATTCAGGTAATTTGGACTTATATTGGCCCATTGGTACACAATTAACCCGAAATCGGTTGAATATATATATATATATGGGAGCTACATCCAAATCTGAACCGATCACGCCAAAAATTTGACAATGGTATTTCTGAGCTGAATTTGATATATTTTCCCGAACATAATTATTACGGAGTTTATATTGCGGATATGGAGGTCAAAAATAACAAATTGGATTAAAAATATTTATGAGAGCTATAGCTATATCGGAACTGATTTCCACCAAATTTGACACACTTATTTCAATTTGGTCGTATGTGGCAAATTCCATCCTATTTAGGCTAATATTACACATTTGGTGCACAATAAAGGATAAATCGAACGGAGATATATATGGGACTTATATCTAAATGCTCACCGATTATCACCAATTTCAATAGCTTTCCTCCTTAGGCCAAACAAAAGATTTGCGCTAAAATCTCATTTTGATCGGGCAATAAATACATGGATATACGGACGGACAGGCATGTATCGGCTCATAATGTGATTCTATGCGGACCATCAAAAGGAACTATGGGTATACCTCGCTTCCTTCTCTATGTTGCAAATAAATGCAAAGACATACGAGTATAAGACATATGGTGTAGAGTATAAATAGAAGAATCGTGTTATATCTTAAATATAATTCAATATATTGGGTTCCCACAGGCTAAATATAGGGTCCGCAAATATATATTTTTTTTAGTGAATGGTTACACTTAGCTCATGTCTGATTTGAAAAATAACTAGAGATTTATCTTTCCACTCATGGTCATATTGCAGAATGGTTGCGAAAATTGTGTACGGTTTTCGGAAACAAGTAAATTTGTCGCATTTAAGGCAAAGAATACCCGCACGCTTGCATTAAAACGCCGCTGCACCAAAACGAGTCACTGTTTAGTGGGAATTTAGGTTTACAGAGATAATTATCCGAATTTTCTTTTTTTTTATTTTTCTTCTTGTTATTCACAACAATTTAAGTGGAGGATATTGGTAACCTTTGCTTTCAAGAGGGCGGCGCTACGTTCCATAAGACCGAAGCTACACTTGGCTCTTTAAAAATTTCCCTAAAATGAGTTTGAGCTGAGAATATAACAGCATCTACTGACTCTTTTCATTAAGAATATCAAAATATTATTTATTTTTAAATTTAAAAGCCAGAAAGTCGATCTGAAATCTGAATTGATTGATCAACTTAAAATTTCCAATAATAGCTTGTCATATGTCACATTAATTTTTTCCCTTCAAATAATTACCGCTTGGCTAAAAACAAAGTTACGCAATGCTTGCCGTAATCAGTTAACCACTAACACCAAGTAATTTGCACTGATTTCGCCTAGTCGTCCTCCCACTCCTCCTCCTCCCACCCAATATAGAATGATAAGATATTGAAGCGACAACCTGAACAGAATACATTTTTATGTTCCACCCAGCTATTAACTACAGGAAAAATACCTGCTACGTATGGAGACAGAGATAAAAATCTATTGAAATGGAATTTACGTAAATCTAACGGGTTCCCACTTTTATGGTCTTATCTGTTGTGGCCTCTAAACACAGATATCTTGGTTAATATTCCTAATGGTCACCTGTTGCGATATTGTGGTTTTGGAAAAAAAATAAACATTTGTTAAAGGCTATTTTCTTTAGTTTATTAAAAAAAAATAAGAAAATATTTTATTGCCCATAACTTGGTTTGATTTGACGTTGCTGTTACGTCATTGACGAAATGTCGAAATAAATTCTTGGGCAGACATAAGGCCAACAAAAGATAAGCAAGAAAAACGTTCTTTTTTTCGGGGTTTGCAATGACATCAGCAGGAGTGTTCAACGACTATATGGTCATGAATGGAAATTTTATTTTAAACTTTAACATGTCTCCAGAGATTTTGAATACAAAAATTAAAATTCAAAACTAGGCCTACATGTTTGGGTGGTTTCACATTAGATCTCCCATGTCCATCATTAAGAAGAAGAAAAAAAAAACAATGACCCGTTTTTTTTATTTCCATACATTTGGCCTCTCCTTATCTGTACCCATACATGCGCCAACTGTTTATTTATATTCTCATTTACATACCAACAATTGCACCTACTTCCACCTGTCATATCCAAAGCAATTAAAGCGATATGACTAACAAACCAAGCGATGACATTCAGCAGAGCACCCAGAAACACCTTGACTTATTTTCCTCTGTTTTTCCCTAATTATTTGCATTTGGCCGACAAATCCAAATACAAAATAGCAATTGAAATCGTTTTGAGTTGAGGGGATGTTGCATAAATATTTATTATTCAAATATCTATATATTTCAAAAAAAAAAAAATATATTTAAATTGCATTCTTTGGTTTAGATACGGTGGCTGGGAAGTGAGAGAAAGTGCCCAAGAATCCGAATGAGTGTGTTCAGCACAAAATGAATAAGCAACAGTGGGAGGGAAGGAATGAAGAAGATTCTGAGTTTTGATGTTCACTAGGAGTTCCCAGTTAGAATTACTTATACTCGTAGTTTTTTTAC